CCATTACGAAACATCTCATTGCACAGCACTGACTCTCCACTATCGAACAAAGTTGCGCATTTCTTCGAGGATTCCAGCCAGCGTTGCTCACACGGCTCGAGACCCGACTGCATCTCAAGCATCCCGATCACTACGCCGACGACCCGTACACCATGGCAGAGATTCACGCGGCGGCTACGTTCATCTTACACGGTACATCGAGCACACCTACGACAGCGGCTAACCAAACTATCACTTCGACATCGAACACTTCGACACCGGTGCCCCCCGGGATGATCAAAACCGAAGACATCTCGATGATCATCGAAAGCCTGTCGAGGACGATCGCAACACTCATTCAGCCGACGACGCACACTACGCACAACCACGCCCCCGCACCGAGACAACAAGCTGCCGTCCACGTCCATGAGAACAGCGGAGCGGAACAGACGTGCCATTACTGCGGCAATCGTGGCTGCAGGGTAGGCACCTGCGAGTTCGTGGAGATCGACATCCGGGACGGCAAGTGCAAGCGTAACACCAAAGGAAAGATCGTCCTTCTGAACGGAAGTTTCTGCCCCCGCACTATTCCTGGTCTCACAATACGAGATCGAATCTACGAGTGGCATAGAAGAAATCTTGCAGCACCCGCCACTCCGACAATGCTCTTTGAGATCGATGATCGCTCGACTATGCAGACCTTCACGCTCAACACCAGCAGCAGGATCGAGGCGCTCGAGCGAGAACTCCTTCAGCTTCGGAAGCGCAGGGAGGTCTTTGACGGCGTCGAGATTCTACAGCGGAAGAAGCCTACGACGCCAGCCATCCCGAAGAGCGTGGAAGCCTCGGGATCTGGTACATCGAAGGGAGTGGCGGCACCCTCGAGCACTTCGACAAGCACGGCCCCGCCTCCGACGATACCAGCAGCAGCACCCGCGCCATCTTCCTCCTCGCCTACGCAATCCACGTCTCATCCTATTACTATGTCCGCTCCCCCAGCACCACCAGTACACCCCTTTGCAAACACTCGTGACGCAACCTACACCCCACCGAACGTTCGAAACTTCGCAACTCCGCCGAAGCCCTCGAACGACAAGGGCAAGGAACCAGCGTACAAGACCATCGTCCCCGTTATCCAGCCGAAGCTGGCCAAAGAAATCTTCCAGCGTTTGATGAAGTCGCAGTTCGTCACGCTGACCCCAGAAGAGTTGCTGTCGATTGCGCCCGACGTTCGAACCAAGTACTGCGACGCCGTCACCCCTAAGCGAGTCTCGACGGAACCCGTCGCGTCGGCCCACATTGTAGAAATCGGCGCCGACGAGGTCACAGCCGTCAACCAGCTCTCGTGTTCAGGCGCAATGTTGGAACCCGGTGCTACAATCGTCCCAGACCCCTATGAAACATATCTGAAGCACATCCCTCATGGCGAGTACCCCGCAGAATTCACTGTCACATGTGATTTGAATGCGATTCGTTCAATCATCGCATTGATCGACAACAAAGAGCAGATTGAATGCATCGTCGACCCAGGGTCGCAGATTGTCGCCATGTCGGAGGAGGTCTGTCTCGGCCTCAACCTCCTCTTTGATCCTACTATCCAGCTGAACATGCAATCGGCGAACGGCGAGGTGGACCGATTGTTAGGACTCATTCAAAATGTTCCCTTCTGCATCGGTGAGATCGTATTGTATCTCCAGGCTCACGTCATTCGAAACGCAGCATACGACATCCTCCTTGGCCGACCCTTCGACGTGCTTACGCAGAGTGTTGTCAAGAACTTTGCTGACAAGAACCAGACCATTACAATCCTCTGCCCGAACACCGGCAAAACCATCACAATTCCGACGTACACGCAAGGAAGATCACAAAGCCAGCAGCATCCTTTTGAGTGTCGCAAGTCACATTTTCTCGCTTTGAGGAATCGATTCCCCATGATCAAGGAGAAGCCGTGCTAGTCATCGACTACGATGGGGTAAAACCGAGTATTTCCTTCATCTCTCCTATTGATTCCTCGACTCCGAGCGCTGTTTCATCGCTGTATCTCTCCGCATGCACCTCCGTCTCATCATATTTGCAGTCTCTTTACACTTCCGACAATATAGCTTATAATGCCGCTCCATCGAACACTTCGACGTGGGCTTCAACTCTTCTATTTTCAGCTCCGTTTGCTTCGACTCCGCCATCTCCCATTCCAACGAAGTCCATCTCACAGTTTTCCAACTCGATTCTTCCCTTTCCTTCGACGACATCGACTTCTACCCCTTCAACGCACAAGATCCTCACCGCGACAAAGAAGAAATACAAGCCTGTTGCTCTCAAAACCAGACCCGTCCTTGGTGCCGTCCCCAAACAATTTCGAATACTTCGAGACATCAAGGGCGACCCTCTATCCATCATGCCTAAGCTTTCGACCGACCCCCCGCCATTCAAACCTACCGGTCGGTACACCCTCGAATGCTTCGAAGCAACTGATAAGCTTCACAACAGCGACTTCCTACTTCCCGACAAACATTGAGTCCTCCACCACTTCATGTGCCTGCACAATGAAGCTTTCGCCTGGACCAACGACGAGCGCGGATGCTTCAAGCCCGAGTACTTCCCCCCCATCGATTTCCCCGTTGTTCCTTACACGCCCTGGGTGCAGAAGAATATCCCCATTCCGCCAGGGATCTACAACAAAGTCTGCATGGTGATCAAGTGAAAGATCACCGCCAGAGTCTATGAACCATCGAACTCGTCGTATCGATCGTGGTGGTTCTGTGTCATCAAGAAGGACGGTAAATCTCTTCAACTTGTCCATTCCCTCAAGCCCCTCAATGCAGTTACAATCCAACACTCCAGTGTACCACCGATGCCCGAATACCTCGCAGAACAATTTGGAGGAAGACCATGCGGCGGCATGCTCGACCTTTATGTCGGCTATGACAAACAACTCATTGCCAATCTTCAAGAGATCTAACGACGTTCCAGACACCCTACAGAGCCATGCGCCTCGTAACCCTCCCGATGGGTTGGACAAACTCGGTCCCAATCTTCCACGACAACGTCACCTACATCCTCCAGCCCGAGATCCCGCACATTACGGTGCCCTACGTCGATGATGTTCCCATCAAAGGTCCCGAATCAGACTACAATGACGAACGGCTCCCTTCAAACTGCGGCATTCGATGCTTCGTATGGGAGCATTTCGAGAACATGAACCACGTAGTCACTCGAATGCGCTACGCCGGAGGTACCTTTTCAGGAGTCAAGAGCGTCCTCATCACTCGAGAAATCATGGTGGTAGGTCATCGCTGCACTCCTCAAGGTTGCCTCCCCGACAACTCTCGTGTCACTGCGATATGCAACTGGGGTGCATGCGCTACTCTATCCGACGTTCGAGCGTTCCTCAGAACCATCGGCGTTGTTCGTATCTTCATCCATAATTTTGCTCACTGCGCCGACGTGCTCGTACGCCTCACAAGGAAGGACGTCAAGTTCGAGTTTGGTCTGGAGCAAATCGCGGCGCAGGAAGACCTCAAGGACGCGCTACTCTCATCCCCCGCACTCCGAGCCCTCAATTATGATTCCCCCTCTCCCGTCATTCTCGCGGTCAACACGTCGTTCATTGCCATCGGATATCACCTCTGCCAGTGTGACGAAGCCAACCGCGAGTCCGTTACTACAACAGGTTCAGCTCAATCACGCTCAACAATTGCGAACGAAGGTTTTCACAGCCGCAGCTCGAGATCTACGGCCTATTCTGCACACTACGATCCCTTCGACTCTACCTGATCGGTGTTCGGAACCTCATCATCGAAGTCGATGCTCGGTACATCAAGGGTATGCTGAAGAATCCGGACATCGCCCCAAGCGTGAGTATTAACCGGTGGATCGTCTCGATTCTCACATTCCATTTCACGCTAGTCCACGTCCCCGGTACAATGCACGGCCCCGACGGCCTCTCTCGACGCACAGCTCAGCCCGGTGATGCCATCAAAGACGAGGTCGACGAAGAGTTCGACGATTGGATTGACCAGATGCATTCTTTCGTTCACCAGATTCAGCCCCTCCCATCCGTCCAGTTGCTGGCCATCTTCACCAATGACAGAGCCGAGGATGGCTCAGATTTCAATAGGGAGGAGGATAGCTACAAGCTAGTGCCTTGATCGGAGCAAGTGCAACTCGCCGATGCGAAGCTCGACTTGACATGCTCGAATTTCATCGAACGTTAGCAAAGCCCGAGGACATCTCCAAAAGTGTTTATGAAGGGTTCATCAAATACTGCATGCAATTCTTCCTCGACAACGACACCCTCTGGCGCAAGGACAGTCACGGAGCACACAAGCTAGTCGTCAAGCCCGGTGATCGCCTTCGAATACTTCGAGAATGCCATGACCGCACCGCGCATCAAGGAATCTACGCAACCCGAGCCTTCGTCAATGAGCGATTCTGGTGGCCGTTCCACTACGCCGACATCGCCTGGTTCGTTCGATGGTGCCATATCTGCCAGTCTCGACAAGTTTGTCAAATCCTCATTCCTCTGACCATCACAGTACCAGCCCCCATCTTTGCAAAAATTCACATCGACACAATGCACATGCCTGCCTCAGGCAGATACAAGTACTTGGTCCAAGGTAGATGTTTGCTCATGACTTACCCCGAGTTTCAACTGCTTCAAAAAGAGACAGCGAAGGCCCTTGCCGACTGGATCTTCGAAGACATCCTCTGTTGATGGGGCTGTCACGACTTGGTACGGCGTCTAGCCGTTTTTTAATTTTTCCTTTTCGCGGGCTCGAACCCGCGACCTCTGTACTACCTGCCTGATATGGACACGACGTTATCTACTGTACGATTAGATTAGATGGGGCGGCAGCGCACGGCACAGCTCGGGCTCCGCTGACACAGCCGCTCTGACTCACCGGCCCCCGGGGCCGCATCGGCATGCTGTGCATGGACCAGCTGCGCACGGACCAGCGCGCACAGCCTGCCCTTATCTCCCCATGTATATAAGCCGGCCTCTGCTGCCCTAGGGACCTCAGTTTCGACCTCTTGTCCCTAGGTCAGTAAGCATCCTTTGTATTCCTTTTCTTACCTTACTAACTAATACATTTACTTGTCCCTAGCCTTAGGTTTGAGCCTAGCTCACCATCGCTTCGGTAAGATAAGTCGAACGCCCCCAGCATTTGGTTTTCCCCTGTCACTTGACCCTAAGTCGCGACATTAGGTCGAAACTCCCCAACGCTGCCGGCGTTCCAAAAACAAAAACACTCATCTTTCCTCTCCTACAGGTTGGGTGGTGCGCACCCCTACTATACGCTACGATACGTAGATAAGCGTACTATACATCGCCACCACTTAGGGAACGAACTTTTCAGTACCTGCACTTCAGTGGGCGGTACTTGTCCTCACGGACGCGTGGCTTAGGTTCCTGCTGCATACTAGCCAAAAGCAGTACTGGGCCCCACGTGAATTGCGAACCCTAGTGTTACCTCGGGCGCCGTAGGTGTAAGCTAGCTTATACGGCCTTTTGTAGCACGCGCACCTCCCCTTCCTCCCCCCCCATCACCGTGGCTGACGAATTCTTCGACTGCTCTCGACTTGAGCACGCCTTCGACACCCAGGAGCAGGTCGACGTCTCTCGCGACGACCCAGACCGCAACGGCAACCTAGCCCCTTTCTTCAGCTGTGATCGGCAACCGTGCCCTAATCGAACCCCACGATCCATCACCACCAACGAAGACGAAGGGCGCTACGTGCCAATCCGACGAGTCCAACACCCCAGCGGCCCTGCACTCCGATACGCTGGCACCTCGAGGTCTACATCTCGCCACGTCACTCCCGTCCCATCCCGACCTGCCTCGCCAGGCACCCGCATTCCCCAACCTGTCGCCAGTACAGGTCAAGCGCGAGGAGATCCCTATCTCCCTCGAGGAACTGAGGCAGTCGCACAGCCTTCAGCGACCCCTCAAGCGATCCCCCAGCCCTCCCTGGGGCCGCGGCTGGAAAGGCCTCCCAAAACCGAGCCCCGCGACACTCCGCCGCATTCTTGGGCCAGCTCGTCGTCAGCGGTCACTGCCTCGACTCCAGTCCCTGTCCTACGTAACCCCGCCTCCGGGCTTCCTCAACCGACTTCACCGCCGTCGCCGCCGCGAGGCCGCTCAAGCACTCGTTCCCCGAGAAGTCCGCCCAGCGGACAGTCACAACAGTCGCCTCCGTCTGCGGGCAGTCCTTTGTCCCCCTCGCCGCTGATAATGTCCTCTCCTGCTGCTGCCCCTGATAAGGAGACATTGAAACTCCTCCTCCCACTCCGCTACGATGGCAAGACCATCATCGAGTGCAACCGGTTCCTGTCGCAGCTGCGCATCTACTGGTTGATCAACACATCATTGACCACCATCGAACTCAAGGTGCAGGTCGCACTTAGCCTGCTCGATGGAGACGCCCTCGCTTGGGCCACTCCCTACTTCGCTCAGCTCGTGTCGGTGCAGATAGGAGTGCAAGGGGCCACGACCCCATTCGCAAACGAAGCGGCCTTTGCCACCGCCTTTAGGGCCCGCTTCGGAAATCTCGACGACGAGGCGGCAGCACAAGTAGAGCTGGCGAAACTCTGCGCGGACAAGTCGGTCCGCGAAAAACGCACTGCCGCGGAGTTCTCCGCGCTGTTCAAGGGTCCAGCGGACCGCTCTGGGTATGGGGACCTGGAGCTACGCGACAAGTACCTGAGCGGCATCCCCTCCCGCGTATACCGCAAGATCGAGCTCGAGACCTTCACCACGTGGCAAGCAGCTGAGAAGTGCGCCACCGAAGTCGAGCAGATCCTCGATATCAGCCAGGCCCGTCGGCCCGAGCTAAACAACTTCTTCTCGGCCCGAGGTCGAGGACGCGGTGGGGCACGTGGTGGTGCACCCTCGACGCACGCAGCTTCGGCCAGCATCAATGCGGCCGTCGGAAAGGGAAACTTCCCCGGCACATGCTTCGGCTGTGGGAAGCAAGGGTACCGACGCTTCGAGTGCCCCAATTGTAAGGACAAGCCTTACACAAAACGCGCCGACGCGCGGGCTACGGCTGCCTCGGGCTCCACCCAGGCTGTGACAAGCGCCCCCGTCACGACAACACCCTCGGCAAGTATAAGTGCCGCTTCAGCGAAATCTGAGCAATCGGAGCTGGCGGACTTAATGGCACAGGTGAAGTCGATGCGCGAGGAGCTCGAGCATTATCGGGCGATGAAGGAGGAGGGTTTTTGATCCAGTCCGCGCTTCGTGCCGCACGCGTCGGGCCGCGAGTGTCATCATGTAATAAGTATAATGTATTGTCAACTGCAATGGTGTACGAGTTGGACCAGGGGTCCCAGCACTTTCACATTCCAGTAAGACTTCAAGGGAAAAGACAGCACAAAGACCTAATCGCTATGGTGGATAGCGGAGCCACCACGAAGTTTATCAACAAGCGATTCATTACCGAAAACAAGGTGCAGACGCGGAAGTTGAAGGAACCAATTCCGCTGTATAATATTGACGGCACCCTAAATAAGGA